AAAGTCATGATATGATATGATATGATATGACCATCGGTACCAAAGATATGATATATTATGAGCTCTTAACAATTTCTAAAGATATGATATGACATGATGGTATGATATTTTTTACACATGATTTAATATTTTTATTCCGGATTACATCATTTTTCGATGTCCTATTGAGTATTCTCATATACTCACTTTTTTTTCCTACTTTTCACAAGTTAGAATGGGTGCTTGGTTGGCGGGCGATGAGGTTCAATCATGTTGCCGAATTTATGGGACTCAATAAAATAATCCGGTGTAACAAGACATTTTTAATTCCAGCAATTTCTTAGTTTATTTCATAAGGATTTTTTTTTATTTAGAAATTTAAGAATATTTTTTTATTTATCTAATAAATGCGATATTCATGGCTTTTAGAGCCTGTTTGTTTTGGATTAAAATCTAATTTTAATCTAAATCAACGTCAAACAATCAATATTAATAACATCTTTCGTTGGTCCAACAATTTTTCAACAATACATTTCAAAAATTTCTATCATGATCTACTAAAAATCTAATTTCAATCACACCAAACACCCTCTTAATATTTACTCGAAATATATTTTATTTGGTTATGAATTTCGTCTATTAATTATATTGTGCTTGTTAATTTCATATACTTTAACTATTGAAATAAATAAATTTGGTAGCGATTTAAATTATAAAATTTGGGTCGTTACAAAAATGATGAAAATCAGCAGGTTGCAGTGGAATGGGGTCAGAGAGGCCATTATCATCCCTGTCTTGTCGGGTATTATTGGAAAAGAGGACATAGACGGTCCGGGTTGTGGTAGGGATTAAAAAACCCCTGTTTATCGCGCCCTTTATATTAATTAACTATTTTTAAATATAATTTTTATTATCTGCATACAATTTACATAAAAAAAACACAAAATAATATAAAATATAATAAAATAAATAATTATGCTTTTGTTAGGTGAGTCCGAGATAGAGATCATGTTTCCAGTCCCAACCTCATTTACTATACAAGGTAGAAATT